AAACTCCTGATTGACCCCTCCCCGCCTTTCCCCTTTGGTACCAGTAAGTTTGTTTTCTGTCTGTGAGTCTGTCTCTGTTTTGTCGATGGACTCATTTGTGCCACATTTTCGATTCTACGTGTAAGTGGTATCACATGATGCTTGCCTTCCTCTGTCTGACTTACTTCACTGAGTACGACCATCTAAAGTTCTCTCTTTACTGCCATTTGCACCCCACTCTGCTGTTGTGCTAACGCGCGGCTGGGTCTCCGTGTTTAACCAACAGGATTGTCTGGACACGTGGAGGCGCCTGCCTCACAATAAGTGATGGGCTTTCTCCTGGGATGGCAGGAAGGGCTCCTTTCCCATGAGAGTTCACATCAGTGTGATAATAGGCCTGCCTTTCTGCAGGGGTGACAAGTGATTTCATTTGGCACTTTACCCGTCGTAGGGCGTAAAGCTGTTCCACCGTGCGTGTTACTTTGTCACAAAAGGGTCAGAGATGAAACCGTAAATCTATCTGCTGAAACCCAAAGGTTCCATCTTCCTTTGCCAAAAGCACTACATATGATCGTTAATGAAAGGAACTATTTTTTCTCCAAGGCTGAAGTTGGTTATTCCTGCTAAACATTGAAGATATCTTTGCCCTGGAAATCATGCTAACTGTAAAAGGAGCTAATACGGGCTTCCTATTACATTTATCTTTGAAAGTGTACTTGCTGCCTGCTTTTGTGAGTTGTGTTTCTGCAGATAATTGGGAAGGTTGCAAAGAGGGAGTGGATGAAGCAGAAAGAGAAGTGAGATGGGAGAGAAATGCTCTCATTTAAGCTTCAGAGGGAGGGGTCAGGGGAGCTCTGGTCTTGTGATGTGCCTCTGACCTTCTCCCCCTACACTCTTGAACTAGTGAATTAAACTCTCTGATCATCAGTTTCCTCATCTGCAGAATGGGAACAAAATGCCAACATTAAAAAAACAAAGTACAGCCACATGCATATAAAATGGGAAATAAGCTGTGCTTATGTCCAGTTCCAAGAGACTAAATGGTGTCATTGCTTCGGAAAGACTCTAGCTCCGGGGTTGACAGTCCATGGCCTGTGGTCCATATTTGGCCTGCCGCTTGTTTCTGCAGATAGCGTTTCACAAGCACAGAGCCGTGCTCATTTGTTTCCATATTATCTGCAGCTCCTTTCAGGCTACAACAGCAGAGTGGATTACTTGCAACAGAGACTGTCTGGTCTGCAAAGCCTTGACATTCACTGTCTGCTCCTTTACAGAAAAAGGCTTTCAATCTCTGTGCTAGACTATAATGGGCACTTTCCCCAGCAAAGGGCTTCACATGCTGAATTTCTGTAGAGACAGTGACCCATCGTTATGATGATGATGATGTTGATGTTGATGACACATAACAGATGTAGAGATGTGTCCTCAAACCCCTCTTTCTCCCCTCATTGTCATTCTCACGCCTGGCTCTGCCACCAGTTATATGAATGACCTCGGGCAGGTCACTTTACCTATCCAACCCTTAAGATCCTTACCAGTTTTTTTTTTTTTTTTTAAGGGTCATATAAATAAAGTATAAAATCCCTTAGAGCTTTATCATAATGTGGAGTTTCTGTATGCATATAATTTTTTCCACAAGCTTCCAACTGCATTTCAATGTTTTAATAGAATTAAAACATTATGTAAACTGAAAGAAAAGATTTTGTATATTTCAACTAAGTGAATATACTTGATTTCACACTGCAGGAACCATTTCACAAGGCAGTGAATGACAGCAATCTGGGAATTTGTTGGGACTGAATGAAATCCTTCAGATTAGACAAACAGGACAGACTCTCTCATCTGAAGTCTTCAGTGACTACACAGATAAATGAGTAGCTCGTTTACAGAGGATAATTGGGGCGATAAACAGATAACCTCTGCTATTCCACTTTGGCTTCAGAATTTTAAAAAGTGGTTATTTTGGGGGAGAAAGAGATTGGGGGTGTCTCACGTTGGTAATGGGAGTACGCCACCTGGGTATTGTGAGTAGTCGGATGGGCCTTTTAAGAAAATGTGAAGCAAATATTACTAATTCATTTATTTGAAAGCACTGCTTTCTAATGCCATTGTCATAAATTAGGTTGTTTCATATTTTATCATATTTCATACACTAGATGATGTTATTCTGAATTATGATCACATCTAAGGTATGAGAAATTTTTCTAGGGCAGTAAGAAATGATATCATGATGAAATACCAAGTACTATAGTTGCCTTCCTTAAACCTGGAATTTCTTTAGAAAAGGAGATGATTTTGAGCTTGTCCTATGAAGCTAGACTCTCTGGAAAATTCACATAACTACTTATTTTCAGCATATAGACATCCAGGTGCATCAACGAAAACGTGAATGGCTGTAATTATCTTTACACATTGTAATTTTTCTCTTGCTTTGAAGTGATGATGAGCTTGCCAACCAGCTTTCTGTAAGAAAGGTCTGCAGTAACCTGTTGTAGGTTAAGGAATGACTCATACCGCAGAGGTTGATCTTAAGGGCCTTGGAGAATACCAGAGCAGGAGAAAATCACGGTGAAATTTCGCTGGTGCGTGGAGGAAAGCACATGTAACTGTTTTGAATAGGGTGACATCTGGTCGACCTGCAGTAGGTACAGACTCTTCGGGGGGGGGGGG